ACTGCTTTTAATTTTTCAGCAATTGAAGTCATATTTTATGTAATTTTTGTATTAGAAACAACTTGAGGAGGAGGCATCTAAACAGCCCATTGAGCCACCAGAGGAAGAAGCACCTCTCCCTGAACCAAAACCAAAAAGTGTTGTACAGGTGATCTACAAGGAGAACAAGGTGTGCTGCTATGCAAAGCAAAATGTATAGCATGATACTTGTATGCATATTTATGCTATCATTTATATTTATTTTAAATTTTATTTTATAAATTTAAAAATGTTAAGCCACTTTGATTCATTACCATAATCCAAAACAAAGAAAAATAAATGTCTGATCTAACTGGTTTTAGAAGCTTAAAAATTAAACTGCAACAAACATTTGCTGCATTGGCAAGCTAACCTTGCTAAAATTTACCATCTTGTGTGTAGAAAAAAGCTGAAACTGCTGCAGCAAGATTGGCAAAGCTTAGTGTGCCACTTCCTGGAGGAAAGGTGTGTATTCAGACAAATGTAATGTTGTTTTAGAGCTGAAAGTTTCAGATGAACTGACAACAGGTTTACAGTGAAACCTCTTTAACTTTAAGTTCTAATTGAGTATGATAGCTTTGGAATGTGTACTGTACTGCTACCAATCGGAAGTGAGATAAAATGGCAATAATCGACTGAGGACTACCAGTGAAATTGATTGCTAATTTTTCAACAAGAGGCAGGAAAAAAATAAGGATGGTACTTTCTCTCAAATAATAATTGAACAGCTTGGTGCAAAACCATGCTAAGTGAGGATTTTATGTGAAAATTTTTTTTCTCACAAGTGCCTGAATTTTTGCTTGTGGTCTTCATTTTGTTAAGACGTTAAAGATTTTTCTTCACATACATGTAGTGATCAGAAATCATGTCAATGTGTGACCACAAAGATGTTGATTTCACTTGAAATACAGTGAAATGCTGATTTCACAAGAATGCCTAAGCTCAGAGATGTTGATTTCACTTCAAAAACACTAACATATTGATTTCATGAGAATGCTTGACCGCAGAGATGTTGATTTTACTTGGTAAACAGCGAAATGTTGATTTCAGGAGTATGCCTGAGCTCAAAGATGTTGATTTCTAGCCATGTTTTGTTTTTGTATGCATTATATCTCGAAAACGTTCAGCAAAAACCAGCGACAAAAATACAGGACCATGTTTTTCTGTTACATTAATGACCACATGCAGATATTCAGGCACTTTTGAGCAAAAAAAATTTTCACACAAAATCATCACTTAGCATGGTTTTGCACCATGAAGCTCGTCAATAAGTATTTATTTTTGAAAAAAAAAAGTGTACCAGGCTTTATTGCCAACCAACATTTTTATATAAATACATGTACTATTTAATTTCACTCAGCTTGTTCAGTTCCTAAGTTATTCTGGGTGAATTTACCTAATTTTCTGTTTCAAGTATCTTTTTTGTAACTAAGAGTTTTTCTGTTTTGGTAAAAAGTGTGTGTTGCTGTTGTTGTCTGTAGTTCATTCAATGACATGTGATTTCCCATTGCTTCACTTTACAGATATTTTTCCAGTGCTCAGTTCCTCATCCTGCTAACAACTTGCTTTTTGATATGCTTCTGCTTCTTTTATTTCTAGCACTACATGTATTTCAATACCTTAGAACTGTATCTAATCAGTGCCTGTTTACATGTACATGTATTTTTTTTTGGTATCATAGCCTTTGTACAATCAACCATCTGATCTTCCTTGTTATCATGAGAACCTTCGAAGGTGAGAAAGTCAAAATTTAAGTGTGGTCTTGAACATTGCAACTATTATGCAGGCTATTGAAGTCAGGCGGATTGCTTTATCTTAAAAAAATCCTTATTGTCATCAGTAGCATGCACTGTACCTGATATATGTCACTCCTCGTGGAAATATTGTTGTTTTGTTGGTTACAGTATTTATTCTTTCAGATGTCCACATACCTTGAAAAGTAATGATAAGGTTTAATAACTTTCTCATTCACCAGTTCGTTGGCAGGGTACACCAAAACATTTGTCTTGTTGTGCAGCCCAACATTATCAGAAATTTGATTTGGACAAGTGAATTTTTGACAAGACTTGTCTGAAGGACAACCATTATTACTGGAATTGTGTCTTGTGGATTCATGTTAACACACAGATTGTAACTTTCCTTGTTTCAGAGGCCCAGCTGTGAAAGCTAAATTGGTTAAGTATTTTCAGTTGAGAAAGCAGGCCAAAGAACTCAAGGTACAGGACTACCTTTCAGATGAAAGTTAATTAAATATTATTATCTCCTTACAGTATTGTCATGTATTGCCAGAGATAATCTAGATCTTTTGTTGTTAGTTCTGAAAATTTGGTCACACAACACACAGTAACCCAGTTTTGATAGACAATGACTAGTTTTATTGCCATTCACACTGTAGTCTCTTAGTCTCTTTTCTATGCCACAGGTTTGCTTGGCATTGCTTAAGTCTTGATGTTGGAAGAACAAAATTTTTAGCTGAACGCCTAGTGATTATTTTAAAATACATATTATTTACATGTAGATCTGAAACCCATTTCCCTTGATTTGTCCTTTTTTCAATCATTTACTCAAAGCGAATTTTGCTACCGTTGGCCGCAAGTTGAAAGACAAACATCAGAGTATTTCAGAATACAGCTGGAACACCACTAACAGTAACATGTGACCTTTTCTTCAATTGTTATCCTAATCTAACTTCATTTTCTGGTGTTCTCTTCTGGCACTTGGTCAATAAAAAATTTACATTCCACCATGTTTTATGTAATTGTAATTTTTTTCTTGTTTCTTTTAATTATTTTTATTTTCATACTCAAGGCTGACTCAATTATTTTCAATCCCTGGTTTTTCTAACCTTTTTTTTACCCTGAAAATTCAAGATAGTTGAGAGTTCATGTTTCATTTTTTCAGAATCGTCAATTGTGTAAAGAGTACAAGACATTGAAGCAAGCCTGGCTCAAGAAAATTGAGAGAAGTGAAAACAATCCAAAACGAAAGTTAGTATGCTGCATTACTTTTTGAAATCCTGGTTTTGTCTGTCAATAATAATATTTTATAAGGTTTTATAACTGCTAAAAATACAGATTGTAAAATAAAAGGTTTTTTTTGTTGTTTGACATAGGCAAAAGGAAGCTAAGCTGCGTGAATTCTATGAAAAAGTTTTCCCTGAGATAAGGAAGCAGCGAGAACAAACAGAAAGATTTACTAGGTGAGGTTAAGGTTTAATAGATATCTTGACTCTATTCATGTTTATGGACTGGTAAATATGAAGCTGCTGACAAAGCAGTTATTGTAGTGATGAAGACTGGTTAATGTTGGAACAATGATTTTTGTTGCCTTTGTTAAACAATATTGGACTATTAATTAGAGAATGAGTGAATAGGTCTGTCCATTTCATGAGTTTGAGTTAAGATATCAAGCTCAATTTAAAACATTAAGGTACTATTTTTAGCTGCAATAGAACTCTGTTTGACGGTTGTGGTTGTTCAATGGATGAATAACACTGTTCACTGGATAAATCATTATCCGGTAGATAACTGTTAACAGAGCTTGGTACGCCATCCTTCTGGGTAGTCCTGTGGATATTGTTATCCATCCTGTGAAGGACTGGGCCTAACTTGGTTAGCCTGTAGACCTGCAAGGGTCGATTTTGTCCAAAATAATATTTTCATGCTAAATTTAAGACTCCTACTTAATCTAAATTTTCGTAAAAATTATTTTAAAAACTTAAAACTCAGACAAGTTATTCACAAAATCATGATTTTTAAAAACAAGTAAACGATTTGCAAACTGTGATAAGCCAATCAACTACTGAGTTGAGCAGTAACAATCTCATCACAGGCTCGTATTTTGCTTCTGTTTTTTATCCCTTGCGTCTTGCAATGTCTCACACAGATATCTATGCTTTTGTTGACTGTATTCGTCTCTTAAGTGATGTACTAGGCGACTTTGTATGGTCTTTGCGTTCCCAAATTTGAATGCAAGCACAAATCGCAAGAAAATTTTGTCGCTGCCCTCTTCTGGCACATAAGGGGATTGCCGTGGAATTACCAGCAAATTTTATCACTGTTATCTGACCTAGCAGCTTTTTCAGATGTTCAGGACTTTCCTCTGCTTCGAAGAGTTTTTTTCCCATATTCTAGTAAAACAAACAGGCCGATGAATTATGCATTTAGTTTTAATAATATGTGTGTATATATGTCAAATATCCACAATCGGCTTGGCTTGCTGAGTACGCCTATTCAAAGGCTATTCTGTTATCGTTTTTCTTTTTCCCTTTTTCTTCTTTTCCATTTATATGCTGATTTGGTGGTTTACAAACTGATGAATGTTTCACGGCAGACTTCGCCTTTCCCAGTGAAATATTGAAATGTACCAGCATTTAGTATGTAAAATGGTTTATTGCTATTTAACAAGAACCATGTGCTGTTAAATGTTGTCAGAATGGGATCAAGAAGTAACTGGGGGATTGTGGCTCGAAGCGAAGCTGAATTCAATGAAATTGTTGACAACCTAAATGAACAAGAGGTAAGGACAGTAGTCTAGCACTTGAAAAACATAAATTTGGTTTTAAAAGTAATGTTAAATAAATAATGTTTATTGTCTGAGGTTCACCTACACCTTTCTCTTTGGGTCTGGTGTAACACAAGGCCTCATTTCGGAGATTAAGTCATTTAATATTCTTTAGATTTTAGGAGTATAGACTGAGATAGTTTGGTGCATATGAAAAAGTGAGATCTAAAATGTTAATGAGTATCAGAGGACATATTTGTCCTTGAAAACTGTTAAGTTTTGAAAATCTTGAATGTAACTTACACATACGTATACAGTGAATGTGCATATTATGTAACATGAAGTAAAAGGTCAAATTATTTTATTATGGTTTGGGGAAAAATATATAATATTACATGTGATAGAAAAAGTATATATCTAAGCACATTAAAGTTGCGAATTCCAACTCACTGGAGGCTAAACGAGAACAATAATTATTCAAGTTAGCTGCAGAGTGCAAGTACTTGAATGTCGGATGTCTGGCTTTTTATATTGTATTTATTTTATTAGGCCAATGAACGACACATGCGCACTTTAGCTGTTGAGCCTCCGCCTATGCTGGACAAAGAAGAAAGGAGAGTGAAGTTCATCAACAGAAATGGTAAAGTATTAAACTTGACTGCCTGCCTCAAGATTTAGCAACTTATAAAAATCACCGGTGGTGAGCTTAGGAAAAAACTAATTGGAGATTTCTCATCATTCACAAACCTTGAATGCTCTTAACGTCAGGTAAGGAATGTAGAAATTAAACAGGCAGGATGGCCGCTGCTTATAACCTCGGATGACAAAAGCAATATATTTTATCAACTCAAAAAAATTCTGTCTCACCGAAGACCATGAAATGGCTATAAACGTTGTATATTCATTATTCATATACCATTGTTCAATAAAGAGAGTTGTAAACAGTCTGTATAGTGCAATTACATACTGAAATCATTTGAAGTAGTTGTAGATTCATTTTCTTGACTTTTTTGGAAGTGGTTGCTGAGAGGTTTGGGGGGGGGGGGGGGT